TAAGTAAAAACAAATGAGTGTCAGTAGGGTTACTGTTAACATTGCGCTCGAATACTGCCAGAGAAAGCGCATATATTCAATAAAATGACTCAGTAACTCAACGCCGATTTCCCTCCTACTTACTACTAAGGGCGCAAGTACGACCTTAGGTCTGGTTCCTTTACAATTGCTTGACTCTAGCTAAGCTGCAGCTGTATTGCCGTTGTGGTGCTCATGTCGAAGTTTGCCCACAATTACTGTGGGTTAGGTTTTCGTTGTCGATCCCTCTTTATGAACAGTTGAACACTTTATTATGGAGAAGATGAAATGTTTTGGATAGGTCCTCCATTTTGTTATGCGCTGGTAGTGCGTCGAACATCGTCAATCGACCCCCTGAATGAATTTCAAGTAGTCAAAAAAGTTGTCAGTTATGAGTCGACCAAGCCAATTTGATTGACAGACCTCAGACTGCTTTCATCGTTACGACACGCGCCATCAGCGACAGCACAACAAAATATAAATTGATTATGTCTTCGTACTGGGAATGACGGCAAGAAGATTCCATTCGTATAAACGATATACGCGCTTCAAAAGACGATCAGGTGCTATTTTAGGACCAAGAACAGTGCAATGACTAATCTGCCCATATTAATAGATGCTTTGAGTGCACAATACATCCGAATTCCATTCAAAATCGCACTGCAACTGAATGCGTATCCGGTTATGCCCATGCGTAGCCTACGGTTGTCAAAGTCCTTGTTTGTTAACTTACGGATAAAGGATAAAGGATAAAGCATTTGCCGTTGATCAATCCCTTTTTGGGATGCGGCACGCATTCTACTTCCATTTGTACATTCGTAGTGGCGTTTGAATGCGATGTGGCCTATACAATGACTTGCGGGGCCAGCCGATGTACAAGTCAGTGTTTTTATCCTCCCAGACAAGTCTGGTACCAATTAACCGACCCCGGAGGGATGGAAGGCTTGGTTGGCCCGGGCGACTCACGACCCAGGATTTGATCCCCGGACCGCTCGCGTGGTAAGCGTGCCACTTGCCACTACACCACTTCCGCCCTTTCGAATAGGTATAACCCGACGATGGCGGAAGGTTCGGGGTTTATAGGAGAGCGGTATGATCTGTGGTCTGTTCCGGTGATAGCATAGCAAGCCACTTTCACATGTCTGCCCCAGTAATTCGTCCCTGAGCCTTGTTTTTTATGCGTGTACTCTATTAACACTAAGTAATTTATTATTGGCAAATTAATTTTGCTCTTTGTTCTAGATTTTCTATCACCCTCCCTTCCCTTTCTTTTTTTCATGGTCGCATGTGGGAGAGAATTTGGACTCTTATTAAGACAAGTGGGTGTTTCCAATACAACATATGTGAATGGGGAAGAAGTGGAAGTGCAATTTCAGGGCGGTGGTGCTATTTTCAACATCGTAAGGTGACATGCGTGAGAAAATAGGCGCAAGCTCATTGTGACGTCCCTTCGTGCGCGAGACGACTGTAGTATACCCTCTATTTCGGAAACCTATGAAGCGCGTCAGTGCAGACCGTACCACAAAGTGACGGAGACAGCCTTTCTCTTACTTTTTTCTTGGCTGTCCATCGCTCGTGTGCGTATGTGGTCTGCGCTCGACCTCCTTCCCATCTCCGAAATAGAGGGCATCTTCGTACGAGCATCATCTGTGTGTGAAGTACCGTAATAAATTTGAGTTAACGCATTACGCAAAACCTGCAGAGGCAGTCAATAGAGTTCAGTGTGAAGACGTGCACTGGGATATCGGTTCACCTGAACCTTGCCCCTTTCCTTTTTTCCTTTAGTGTTCGTATTGGCGGGAGTGGTATAGCGTCAAGTGGATGCTTAGCTGCGCGTGGTTTGAGAATCAAATCGTTAACTGTACGTAGTCCAGGCCAACTGAGCTTTCCATCTTTTGGCGTTCGTTGAAGCTGACCGACTACAAGCTCGTCGATAAGAATGAAACTGACTTTGGTTTGGGTCCGCCAATGCAATGTATATAAGCATATCACAATTGCAATAATTGTCACTACGATCCTGAATAGGAGTAGAATGCATGGAAGCATCCAAAGGGAATTGATTATTTTCAAATTATCTTTTTTGTGCTTCATTAAATGGCATAGTTCCGCTTTCCTTAGTCCATGCCAAGTTCGACTTGAGTGTGAACTTATACACACATGACCGTTACTTGACCCTACACTGCTACACTCTCAACCAGTCAGCTTGATGCGCGCATTTTGCTGAACGATCATTGAATGGCAAAAGAATGCGTGCATCAGAAACGAATTAAAATGCATCGCTCATCATTCTCCCGTCTACAATAACACTAGCGCCATGAAAGTGACAAGGACATTCATTCAAAAGATCGCCACATTGCGTGCACGGTATGCAGATCCCAAGCTTGAATCGCAATTTTCAGTACAATTAAAGGTGGGATTTTTTGACTTTTCTGGCGTGGCAGTTTTGGTATAGTGGCAAACCGTTTAAAACTGAGAGCCATCTCATTGCTCTGCTTAACGTGAGCATGCTCGATAAGCTACTATTTCACTCAGCTGTGTTAAGTCATGATTTAATGATGTTTCTCTTTCTGATATGAACTTATACTGAACCTGCTCGAGATATATCTTTTCGGTACGCAGCAGTAGCCTCATAGCGGCAAGCGGTCGTGGTATCACGTCACCACCTCTTCTCATGTATGCGTGACGGTCAATTGACATTGCTGAGATCAGTCAACCACTGGACATGAGATGTCTCTTTGACAACTGAAGATAAGCGTTCAAACATTCGCCAGGAGCGACTGCGCCAAAACACATTTAACAAAACAAAAACATTAATAGCCTTCCAACTGAGTGGTCTCTTTTCCTCGTTGACATTTTCCTAGTTCATTGTACCCTACCATTCTTTTCACTCGTCTTTCTGTACCAGTTTGGTCATGGAAATAAATTACCTGGCATGCGTTTTGAGTGTCGAAGTGTTTTGCGCTTCTTGCAGCCTTTTTGAAATTTTTAAAAATGTACTTACACACGGAGTTCGCAACATGCAAGGCGAGCACTTTTAGAGATCTGGGCGGGTAGAGGAATGCTGAGCCCAAAATCAGACGGGGTGACGCCTCCCTTTGCCGATAACGTTAACGCTTTGTGCTAAAGGGCTAGAGGCTTGTGGCGAGGTTAGCCTGGGCGTACCACGCCGACAGCGCCGCGGGTAGGGTCAGGCTAGATCGCCGAGGGGCATCTCCTTCGCTGCGAATAGTCCGCAGTCTTGAGGGGTCAGCACTACTGCGTCCCTTCGCGTATTGAAGAGGCTATCCATAAACTGGAATACTTGCCAAAGATCGTGTCAAAAGGACTCATCATTTTCGTCACTCATGAACCGAAGTAAGCTTGCTCAATTGAATGCACGCAAAGTTTATTTTTGAAACCCTTTTCTATATGAGAATACATCATTTTTACTGAAGGCTTTTGAGTTCTGAAAAAGCCTAATTAGTGTCGCTAATTTGACTGGCCATCTGAAAGCTCAATTGTATGGTTTGAAGCTATCAATTGCAGTCTCATGTGTGGATGCGTCAAGCAAAATGCGTCTTCCATGCAGCAAAGGCTCCAATGTGGACCTATAAAGATATAATCTGAAGAGACAATTCCATAAGCAAGTGAAGCGTGTAAAAAGCAGCCGTCGCTGTTCTGCAGAATCTTCAAAAACGTGTAGGTCAGTAGAAGGTGGCTGGCTTCTGCCATAAGGGGAAAGTAAACATTTGCCCCTTAAAGGCAAGAATCAGGATTACATTTGGTGATTCCACTCAAATGTGAAAGTAGGGATGGGAGGTGGACCGCCAGTGGAGAAAAAAGGAAAGAAAATCCTGAAATACACAGGAAATACGAGCATTTTGCTCTATGCTGTGGAGAAGTTCAAAAGACAGGCAGGGAGATGAGAGATAATGTGAGCGCGGAGAGCGGTAGAGAAGTCCGAGAAGAGAGAGCATAGCAGATCAACGCAGCGACGCAGACAAGATATCGAACGGTGGGCGGACCATGTTAAGTTTGGTGGAGTCTGTTAGAAGTCCATGGCGCCTAGGGTCCTAGTGACGCGTTTCGATGTAGAAAGGTGGCGCTACCTTTGCACTTGCGTACCCAGCACTTCTAGCCATGGTAAGGGCTTCTTAGGTGGGTCTGAGCCCGAACTTTGCCTTTAGCCGCAGGATCACCATAGAAATGCAAGCACTCAAAGCGAGTCTAAACTGTATAGAGCTCACGCAGGGTACGGTGAGAGAAACAGAATCGATGGAACCATGTCCTCTTCCGTACAAAAGTCCGCTTATTTCGAAAATTTGTCAACTTGCACAATGTCACTCGCGCGGTATGGATGAAAATCCGGTGATCCCTGCAGTTATCGAAGTCGGAGTGCTCACACCAACTTTTGTGCTCTTTTGTGCTAGTAATAAGTAGCATGAATCGACTAGGGCTAGTAATAAGCTAGCATGAAAACGAAACTACACAATTGAAGGGAACTTTTTTTTGTCAAAGGGGGTTTGCTTTTTTTTTTTTAATTATTAGTCTTGATACATTTTGGTAATAGTCGTAAAAAATGTGAATTCGAGCAAAGAATAGAAAATACATATTGGAATGAGGTTTGATCGAAGGTGAACCACGTTGCTTGTCTATCTCCACAGAGACTGGGCACGATGCGATTGCGTTATCAAAAAATGCGGAATGTTTGAGTTTTATTTGGTACTCTGCATGCAGTGCTGGCGTAACTAGTCGAGAGAAACTAGAAACCTGAGTATAAGTGATTCCAATACTCAACCCTGACACAAGCGAATGAGTCTTTTAGGGATATTGGCACTGTTGTCATAGACGAGCAGAGCCGTTCTCCCGCTTTTCAAAGTCCGATTTTAATGGCGGCACGCAACATGTGCTTTTAAACAGGCGATTTTTAGCGAATAGCTCACTCTTCTCTACTTGGCCTGCCTAAAGTTGCTAAATTGTAATTGATTTCCGCACTGATGCCACTGTCGTCGGTGCTGCCCTCTTCAACACTGAAGTTTTCTCTCTGTTAAACGGCCAGGACCTGCGGTGAGTGGCTAGCCAGTCCGTGGGCGTATCGCGCCGATAGCGCCGCGGGAGTCACAATCCTTCCTTGATATCGCTTCTTGAAACTCGCTGCGAAATTAAGCGGATGAGCGTTAGCAAACTGCTATCAGTAGAGGCATTCTACGATCAAGTTCGAAGAAGGCAGAACTTCAAACGACGCGCCGACACCTTAATTCTTTCAAGCGCAAACATGCGTACCCGGCGATCTTAGCTCGGCCATCCTCGCGGCGCCTATCGGCGGATATACCCACGGACTGGCTAGCCACTCGCCGCAGGTATCTAGCCGTTTAATAGAGAGGGAACGTTAGCGTTGAAGAGGGCAGAACCGACGACAATTGCATCAGTACAGAAATCAATGAGCAGGGAAGGGTCCCATTCTCAGGTTCTAGGCTGTTTCTTTTGTTTTTCTTCAACTTCGTACCACAGACCACCTTCGTTCTAATGAGCTGCCTTTTAATCGTAGAATCCGCTCCAATGGAGGTCTATCTGATGTAGACTAGTTGCCTTCTTTCTGCCTGGTGGTGTTGAAGGGCCAGTAAGTGGTTGCTGTGAGTAATTTAAAAGGCAATGATTTTTATATCGGTTTCCTTGTTCCCCCATTGTGTATAGCACACTGCCAAAGGCACAATTAACATAAAGGAGTGATGTGCTAAGAATCACTGTGGCATTCTAGGAACTTGGTTGAGCATTCGCTTTACCATCAAGCGCCAGTACAACAAAATTGTACGTGAAAAAGAAAGTACATGAAAATCTCAAAGCTGTGGACGAAAACATAGTTATGTTGGAAGGATGATTCTTCTGTACTTCCGAGATTGTGCAGAGATTTTCCTTCGCTCTTCTTGCGCTATTAAAATGATTTTCGAAGACATTGATGTCTTTCCAAAGCTCATAATCTCACATAGATCTTGGTATACAACACGTACGTATAATTGGTTATGGTATAAATCTTATACCCGGGAAAGAAAATGTACCGTTATTAACGCGTCTTCATGGACGTATAAAATATATAATAAATATTAGTAATTATATAATAATTAATAACATATAATAATTAACAAATATTTTTCTGCTGGTTTGTAAGCATTATACGTAACAAATAAAAACTGTTGCACCAAGATGTGTGGAACTGTCTCTGAAATGACGTCAGATCCTCTGAATTGTTCAATAAAACTTTGAGACGTGTCAGCCAAAAATACAAGCATTACTGCTTAACCTAATGTTGTTGGGGAGAGACGTTGAAGCTGATATGACCCTGCAGAGTAAAACGAATTTCTGAACAAAACGCTTCCCTAAATTTTCTCAATCCCTTCATTTTCAAATTGATATTGTTGAGTCAAAAGCTAAGTCTCCTCTTATTCCAGGAAAATGGTCTCGTTTTGGTGGAGCAAGAAGCGGAAGAGCCATCTCAGGTGTCCGCTGATAGTAGTGGATCGTCTATCAGCATGTGAGAATTGAGTTTTCAGATTTCAGATGATTTAAAATAATTGAAGGCGAGGATCGGGCAACTTTTTTTATAGCGCACATGCGCACAGCCGTGCCTGAGGTTAAGTACCTGCGTGCCATTTAGCATTCAGTGTTTTCTTTGGCAGCCACTTCGCTATTTGAGGAGTGCCATGGGGTTTTTAGACCTCGCGCGCTCCCTGTTTTTGCAGCATCGCACAGAAGTATATAGTCTCGTCTACAAATATAGTATACCTGACAGACCAAGGTCCGGTCTCAGCCGCACTGAGTGTCGCTTACGTGGATAGAGGTTCTGGTCCGCCACTGCAGATAATGTCCACCATCTTCGCACTTCGAAACGCGTTACTAAGGCGCTAGACACTAAGGACTTGGACCAAGTCCTTCAGGGTCCGCCCACGGCGTATTTTATCTGCAGAATACAATGTCTTGATCTAATCTTCGCTTCTATTACTCAGGACTTCTCTTACCCCTCTTCGCGCGCCCGATTATCCCTCATCTCCGGTGTCTCGCCTCTTAGGCTTCTTTTTCGCAGCCTAGAGCAAAAAGGCTCATTTTTCCGTTTTTCACGATTTTCTTTTTTCTCCACTTGGAGTCCATCTTCAAACCCTGCGTTTAGGAGGTGGGATTGTCACATCAACTTGATCCTGATCCTTGCCCTTTTTAAATCCGAAACAGCAATGCATGCGCTTAATATGGGTGTGCCGCTACCGTTTTCTCAATGTACAGTTCAAATTGGAAATATACGGAGCGTTTGGTCATCAATGGCGGGGATTTTCCTCTGGGGTAACGCTTTGGTGCGATTGCTTCTTTCTATGACCATTATTGTTGCATCCGTAAACCATCAGGGGGGAGTGCATTACGATAACGGTTCTGAGAGGAGATTTAAAGGCATGCGGGTGCCTCAATTCTGCAACTTGGCAAAAAATGTAAAGAAAATCGCCGAGAATACGCGAACATGAGACCCTCGTTGCCCGTTTATTTTTCGACCATAGGAGCAGCAAGTCTAAGAAGAGAGTCATCTGAGACATAGCAATCCTGATGGCGGTTATCATGCCAACAAACATGACCCTTTGAGTAATAACGCTTCTCACACAGGCAACTTGGTAGCCGCTTGAAGTGAATTTCGAACGATGCCAGCCAGTACCAGCAAGAGAATGTGCTCAAATCGCTAACTAATTTAGCGGGTGTTGGGAGGCGTTACGACTTTCAACTACTGCTCAGCAACCAGCGCATCTTCCGTCGTGAAAGTGCTACACCTCGCTTCCTTAGGCAGCCGTGCTACTGCTCGAGTGGCGCATATAATTCCCGGTGCGCAGAAGCAATCAATTCCTTGAATAATCTGCATTCTGGACTTTGTTTGAGGAAACCATTTTTGGCATGTAAACTTTTTTCGTTTATTGCACCTCATCGGACAAGTGTGTTCATTAATTCGAACCTTACTCTGAGCAACATTGTGGACTTAATCGCCGCGTGCATTACGGATATTTTAGCGGCACCGCGAAAGCTGACATTCATGGGTCAATGAACAATTCGAAGAGAATTAGTATGCTGGCAAAGAAGTGAAAAGTCACGCGAAATTATGAATGCACCGTGAGCTTTTTTTTGCAGGAAGCCTGGTCCACTTCTGTTTGCTGCAGAAACTATCAAGCTTGTCGAACGTGCCGTACCTGGCTCGTCAAGTCTGGATCAGAAAGTCAGAAAACTGGTGGACACGGTAAGTTCGGTTTTTTTCTTTTCTGAAGCAGTTGCCCTTCCCACCAACGTTCTCAAATGTAAATCACCGAGCGAAGAACTAAGGGAGAATTTATTGGCAAACGGTAGTGAAGGGAAGCCATGGAGCTAATTGATGTTGGTCCAGCGGGGAATCGAGCTGCGGATTGACAGGCGCGGCAAAAAATCTAGAGCAAGCTGGGGGAGATTTGTTGGGTCGAACGATATGAAAGAAGAGCTAGAGAGGAATCGATGTCCATTAGAGTCGAAAGAGTGATGAGCATGGGTTGTGTTGGGTGGGGTTGGGTGTGGGGTTGTGAGGTGTTGGCGACCTTAGCAACGCAGTGCGCAGCAAAGCTGTTCTTTTTATAGACAATAATAACGTAAAATGATATAAAGGGATCACCAAAATTCTTGGGACTTCCCGCTCACACTTTTCGCAGGCCCTTCAATCACTCTTTTATTTTTTTTTGGGTCCCCATTTCTTTTACAACTTTTAAGAGCGTCTTCATAAGTGCAACCTAATGCTTGCTTTAAACAGTTCTGGAAGACTGCTATCTTCTGGATTGGCAACTTATTTGTTGTTTCTGGCGCATATGCGGCTATGCGTGGAAGCGATGGGACGGCATTCATTTTCAAATAAAAATCCCATCATAACTCTATCCAACAATTATCGAAGAATTCAAAAAGCAGATAGTAAATAGATGAAAATTGTTTAAAAAATAGATTTTTATTCACAAGTTGAAATTTTTTTCTTGGTGGGTGTTTTAGTCCCTACTGAAAGTGTATAATCCTACTTCAGAATTTCATTTGCATTTTTTTTTCGATGGCTTCTTGTCTGACTTTTTGAGTCATCTCAGAAGCCGTTCAAAAATGTATGCTGGACTCTAGGATGGCAGTCGATTTGCACAGCAGCAAGCTTTAGTTTGACTGCCATACTTTTTCTGGGATTCATCAGTGGCGCTGGAGGTGAAGAAGAGTACCTAAATTGGAGGCTACCTAATTGCCATTTTGAAGGAGAAATTATGGGTAACACATCCCCGGCATTTTGACTTTCCTTCTGGGGAGGTTTGTTTTCCTGAATTCTACTTTCCGTTTTTATTCTTACGATTAGTTGCTTCTCGAATACCGATCTTTGGCTCACATACATTGGACTTTGGCGTTGCAGCGATTTTCATGAGTCAGTAGATTTGGCATACTGTCACATTGAGCTGCTACTACTTTGTGTGGGGACGCCTTCAAGATTCAGGCGCGCTCGTTTACTTCCATCCGGGGTAGTTTTAAGACAGAGCGCGGGCAAGCGTTTGATGTCGCGCCCTCTTATTGTCCGAATTTAGAAAGTGGCGAGACAAAGGGGCCGGGAGCTCGTCGACCACGCAACTCACACCCTGCAATTCCACAACAGGCCCACCGCTCCGGCTGCTTGTTGCACATGGCGCCTCTTGAAAAAGCGGCGGGCGTATTTTTCGATACAGCGGTCCCATTGCGATCCAGGTCATTGGCAGAGCGTGTGAGTGTGAGAAAGAGAAAAAGCATTTGCCGTTGATCAATCCCTTTTTGGGATGCGGCACGCATTCTACTTCCATTCGTAGTGGCGTTTGAATGCGATGTGGCCTATACAATGACTTGCGGGGGCCAGCCGATGTACAAGTCAGTGTTTTTATCCTCCCAGACAAGTCTGGTACCAATTAACCGACCCCGGAGGGATGGAAGGCTTGGTTGGCCCGGGCGACTCACGACCCAGGATTTGATCCCCGGACCGCTCGCGTGGTAAGCGTGCCACTTGCCTACACCACTTCCGCCCTAGAGTTAGGTACCCATGAAGCGAGAGGTGGTCTGGAAAAAGAAGGAAAGCAAACGAAACCACCGATTACACCCGCACAGAGACCTCCCTATTTCAGTCGCATTCCAATTTGGGAGGAGGCGCGTTGGACGAGTTTCACGAACCTAACTCTAGGGCGAAAGGTAGTTTAGTGGCAAGTGGCACGCTTACCACGCGCGGGGTGCGTAGCGTTCTCCTCCTGGGGTCAGGTCACCTAAAATTGAGACGCCGTTCATTCGCTCGGAGCAAGCTTAGGACTAAGCCTAGGCCCAATCATAGGCTTAGGCATAAGCCAATGTGTAAGCATAAGCCTTAACCTAAGTCTAAACCCAAACTTAACCTTAAGCTTCAATGATCGCGCAACTGTGGTGACCTGACCCCAGGAGGAGAAACGCACGTCTCCCCAGCTTCATTATTGAACGCTTTTCCACACCTGTTTTATCCTTAATCTTGCCTTTAACCCATTGGCGACAATGCGATTTTCGTGTGTCTGCCACATCAGGCTGTACTTTTTCAATATATTCGAAAAATGCCTCATAATGCAGCAAACCACCGGCACCAGAATGTTGAATCTCAAAGCAGAAACTGTTGAGACTTTGCACGTCTCGCTCCGTTGCCGACCTCAAATCTTTTCGTTTTGCCCAGGGTAGAATTCGCAGCGAGCCTAAAAAACTTCAATTTCCACTCTAAAATCCGTAAATTGGGTCGGATCCAGATCTCTTTTTGTGAAATGTTGTATCATTACTCTAGCTAACTCCAGGCGAAAAGCCAGCCGGATACATTCGAAAATAACAAGCTTTGCCTTGGAAAATCACTTTCAAGACGCTTTGTGTAAAACATCAATGAGGGAAGATATGCACTGACCATGATTACCATAAGTACCACAACGCCTTCCTGATTAATATGCCATTAAATAATTTTGGAATCCCTGCGCAGAAGAATTATCTCTATGCTGCATCCCCACATCGAGCCGCATTGTCCCACGCGGCAAAAAGTGCGTCCCCACGTCGAGCCGCAATGTCGCCAATGGGTTAAGTCGCCTTTTCAGAATGAAAGGAAAGGAATTGTAGACTTGAGGGAGTTTTGATCCTCTGACCGTGAGTGCGACCCCCGTCCATCACCTTCAGTTGTTCCGCTATCGCTTCTGAGGCGCGGTGAATCTAAACATATAGCTTTCTCCAAAGTAGTTTACTTCCAGAAGCAAGTTGCTCCTTCTTTTTTGTGAGATTTTGAACCTTTGAGAACTTTTGGGCGACATGCGAATGTCTAGTTTTCTATTTGGGTGTTTTGTCGAATTGGTTTTTGTTTCTGCTCCTTCCTTCTTCATCCTTTGTTTTCGTATCTAGTCGATAATAGCTCCATTGTCGCAGTACTTTTTGAATAAGACGTCGGGATGAGCCAGGAGGGAGGATGTGAATATGGACATAATTCATGAGTATTCATTGATTATGTAAACGAACGCATAAAGCTATGGTGTCTTTGATTGAAAGCAAACTTGCCATCTCAGAACCAAAGAGTCGTGCTGCGGCTGAGCACATTTGCGTCATTTCTTCTATAAAACCCTGCTCTACTCGTATTGTTCTAAATTTTTCTCGCTTTCTTATTTTCGTTTTATGGTATGCACAATTTCAACTTTGCCGAAAATAAGTATAGGCGCTATCGCAAGATACGAAGGCATTGTGGTGGCAGTGCATTTGTAATCACGAAAATTGTCTTTTTTGTTGAAAACGGGATCCAGCCTCAGACAGGGAAGGAGAGACTCTAGGGTGCGTCAGTCGTTCTCATTATCCTCGGAATTTCTGCCCCGTTCTAGGCTTTCTACTAGTGGATGCTTTTTATATTGCGATAGCGCCCAAAAATCTATTATTTTTTGGTGGTTTGTGACATATCTTAGCAAGAGTACTTTAATATTCCAACTCAACTCATGTTTCTGTGGGCAAAAGGAGTAGTGGTGTGTGGCGCTATGTCACATCCATTCCGGTATCACTTCCCGCCAGATCAGCCAACAGCCAAGCCTCAATCCCCAGCTTTTTTTTGTAAGACCTGTATGAATGAAATAGGGATCAAACCACCAACAGCAAGTCGTTGCATAGGTCAGATCGCATTCAAATGCTGCGACTACGACTTTGAATGGAAATCGTGTACGTGGCGTATTCCATTAAACCGCCTTAGACATTTGTCTATTGATCGATGTTCTTATCAGACCGCTTTGCGTAATTCGACAATTTTCAACAACGCTTATTTTCTTTCTGGCCCCTTGGTTCGTGATGATATCGACAAATTAATGCGCTTTATAGTTTGGGCTGGTAGGATCACACAAGTTGCGGTCTTATATTTTGAGGCGATTTCTTTTTCAATCCAATTCTTATTCTACTGCTCTCGCAGTTTTCTGCTTGTGAAGGATTTGTGACAAATATTATCTGATTGAGCAATATTTAGTAATTCTGCGTATTAAGTATGCGCTTATTTGACTGGCAAACGTATGAATTTTTAATTGCTTTCTCGGGCAAGTATTCAGAAATTGAAGAAGAATAGGAGTGAGAGAACCATTGGTTTTCATCTATATATCGCTGCAGCTGTGAAAAACTAAATATAAACAACCAGCAAACAAGCTGCCGCTAGTCTTAGCAACCTCAAAGAACAGCTCTGTGTGCGCATGAAATAGACTTTGTCATAGTGTGTAGGAGGGTGTGTACATCTGCTAAGCTGTCCCGGAATTATTCCAAATTTCTGGTAGATTTTACAACTATCAACAATCGAAATAATATCAGTTTTATCAACGACATTCTGCCAGCGATCAAGCAAGCAACGTTTTTAATAGAAGGAGCTTGGCTGGCTGTCAAAATACCTGGCAATGTACGCTTATCAGTGATCTCGATAATTGAATTTCTTGTCCTTAATGCGACTTAAAAGTGATATAAAAGGATGATTGGCCGTAAGAAGGAGGTTTGGGCTATAAGCAGGATGCACAGAACTTCCATAATAAGTCTAGAATGTCGAGAAACGTTGGCGTTGCCACTTCGGGACCTGCTTTATCGAACAGCAAAAGGGTTCAATAAGATCCAGAACGTTCCCTTCGGTATTCGTTGGCAGTGTAGTTGTTGACAGTAGACGTCGACAGTAACAACTTACGAAAGAGCTACCCCACTGCGGTTCGCAAGCTGGTCGCTGCTTAGTTCATG